AATATACTATAATTATTTATCACAGAGGCAACATGAATTAGATCATTCCTTAAATATCATAATTTTCTTCATCACATTTTTTTTCTAAAATATACTATCATCTTGAAGTGTCAAAATGATATCCTCTTACTGAAAATGCGATATATTCAAGATATATATTATGTTTATTTAAAAATAAAGATAAAAGGGTACTTAATTTTCTTTATGGCTGTCTACTTCCCCATCCTTAATCTCAGCCCTCTATTTCTCCCAATACTACCTGTTCTCTTTGATTTCTAGGAAATCTTAGAAAATTGGATGTGCTTCACTTTCTGAGTATCCTGAGACAGCTCTAAGTCAAAGGCCCAGTCCTTGTTTTCTGAAAGTCAATCTTCTACCTCTCCAACCCTGGCTTTATTACCAGAACTTCCAGTCTGGCCCAGCTATTGTCCTTAAAAGCACTGAATGGTCTTAACAAATGGCCTAATGACTCAGCCTTCCCACTGATGTCTTCCTGAAGTAAATCACTACCAAGAACTGAAACTCAGATAAAGACAGAATTCATAAATAATGGGTCACCACCATCTTCTCACTTAGCCATTTTCAAAGAAAAGAAGGTGCTGTATCTGCCAACAAATTTGCCTTGCCAGATTGAAATGCAAGTCTTCTTTCCAAATATTTTTCTTTGAACTTGTTTTTCTATTTAGCTGTTATAAGGCCATCAGGAATAATTCTCATTTAAGACTCAAACTTCTCGAATCCCAAATTTCTTCAATTTCATTAAAACTGAGATATTTACCCAATTATCTACTTTATCAAGCTGTTTTAAGGTTTAAATGTTAAGAGAAATCTACATAATTACTAAATAAATATACAGTGCTGTATATCTATTAGGTAATATTTTCTTGAATTCAATTAAATAAATATTTACTATGTAAGATGCTGTAAGAAATTAAAAATCAACCAAGATTTTACAACATATACATAAACAATACATAAAGCAGCAGCAGTTTATTAGAGGCAAAGATCTTTGGAGCTTAACAGTGCTGATTATCCTTGAATGGATGGGACAATATTTAAAAAACTCAGACTGGCAATGAATGATAAAGGCAGTTGGTGATTGCAGTCCATTCACAACAGGCAGGATGAGCTAACATGGTTTAAAAAGAAACTGATTTAAATTCAGGTCTACCCAAATGCAAGCTCTGAGATTGTTGAAGATATCACATACTAAGACAGTGGCCTGTAATACAACTTTCAACGCCAGTTTTTAAAACTCTCTTGTTGCTTTGTTCAGTTTAACAAACCCAATGTAGTTGCCAGACCCTGTGCAGGACGCCAAGGACACAATGACATTTCTGTACTTAATTATGGAGAGAATGGCATGCAGAATGAGTAATGCACAGGTGCAAAGAACTGCACGGGGGAGGGATGAGAGTTCTGTGTCCTGCTTTTGGCTTGAGGTTACTGACATTTGGGTCTCATGGTAGAGTCAGGCATATAGCCCAGACATCTCAAGCAGCATGAGCACTGGGTGTGTCTAGTCTAGCAACAGAAATAGGTAAAAGGTCTAAGAGAAAAGTTGCTGGGTGATTTTTTTGGTGGGGGAGGGGGCCCGGTATTCATACATTCAGTCTGATGCTGAAGCTGAATCTCCCAAGAGTCTCTTGGGTCTTGCTCTTCAAGTTAAATTTAACTCCCTATTCAAATTAGGAACCTAACTTACCCAAGTTACAAATGAAAAACACTCAGCATCACTTTGTCAGTTAAACTTTCTTAAGTGAATTCTAAGATACAGTCTCTCCTTGTTTTACCTTTAATATCAGGTTTGGACTGGTAGGTGATCCATGGATAAACTTATACTTTACCCAGGACTCTGTAAACTTCAAAGCTCTGAAGAATGATACAATTACAATGCAATAATGCTGAGAAAGGGTTTCTGGTATCTTACAGAGACAAGGCCCTGCAAATATTAACTACAAAATTAAGACAAAGGCATCAAAAATGGGCCTAAGCACTTCATTTCAAAGCCCTTAAAAGCAAATCATTTCCAGCATGTTTTCTCTTATGCCCATCAAGAACATCAGGCAGTCACTATCACTTCCTCATTCAGAGTAAAGAGAACCCACTAGGATTTCAGCTAATAAGAAATTCAAGAGGCAATCTCTAGGAAAGTGGAATAAGAAAATTCCTGGAAGAACCCTCCAAGGGCTCTTACTGAGGGTAAAAATTTCCCAATATTCTCCCTATTAGAATAAGGGTAAATTTTATTTTAAATGCTTGAGATAAAATGCAGATGGATGTTGTTAAAGAATAACATTAAAATTTATAAATTTGTAGTGAAAAAAATCAGAAAAATAGGTTGTGCATTAAAAGACAATCAGGAATGGGGCTGGGGTTGTGGCTCAGTAGAAGAGCACTTGCCTAGCATGTGTGAGGCACTGGGTTCGATTCTCAGCACCACATATACATAAATGAATAAAATAAAGGTCCAGCAACAACTAAAAAATATTAATTAAAAAAAAAAGACAATGCAGGGAGACAATTATGGCCTATGCAGCAGGAATGGAGTCGAAATTGCTCACTGACGTTCTGAATGTTGAAAGGGATTGCCTGTCATTCTCTCTCACATATACAGCCTGATTCCCGGGACCCAAGCTGGGACCCCAAGTGTCAGGAACCTCAGGCCAAAAGAAGGACACAGAAAAATAAAGACAGGCTGAGACAGCTTTCTTTGCTCTCAGGAAGAGTTATGAAAGGGAACAGGGTTGAATAAAACCTTGCCTCCTCTCCCTTCCATTCCGCTTTTCGGGCCACATGGCCCTCTTCTCCCAGGATGGACAGAGGAGTGAGCAAATGACAGGACAGCAAGGAGATATTTTCATCACAACCTTGTGACAAACTCAGGGGGCAAATGTGTGCTTCCTATTTGTGCTCAGCTTTTATAATTTCAAGGTCATGCTCTAGTGGGACAAGTTGGAAAATAATACTGTAATTATTAACCAGACAACAAAATGTGATTGCATTCCTTACAAGCTCTGTTTTACATTATTCATGTTACAAATGAAAGAACATTAAAAATATCATGCATCTGAAAGCTGTATTGCAAACAGTAATGTATAGCTTTATCAACATATGATTACTCAAAATATTTAGGGGAACTCAATTATTTGTTGCTTTAACAACGTTTACAAAGTAAAACCACAGAGGAACTCTTTTAACTGTTCTCAGGGTTGGATCTTCTGTTGCTCCTGCCAGAGTGACTGCCTTAAAGAAAAGCCTGTACAATACTCTGAGGGCATTTTATTGACAACACCCTACCCAGTTTACTGGCTTAATCCTCTTAACTCATGTACACCAAGTCCAAAGAGCAGAAAGAAAGGTCTAGGATCCATGAAACAGAATTTCTAAATAAATCAAGCAGTATTATGGAAATGAAAAATAAAAGACTCAAATGTTCCATAAAACACAGAGTCACCGTTTATTTATCTAGTGCTATTTTCTCTCCAGTCTAGAAGGCTGCTCACACTCGCTCATCATCACCTCCTGTCACGCTTTCAACCAGAGACCAGCAATCTTCTAAAATTAACTTAATTTTACAAAAGTGTTTTGATGGCTAATAACAATCCTCCGAATTGTCCAGTGTCCGGGACCTAATAATGGGCTCTGAGATGACTGGCTCAATTTATAGCTCTAGTATCAGCCATACCTAAACACACAGAAGAGGTCAGGAAAGTAAATGAGAGTGCTATAGTCTAGCCATGTTTATTCAGCCTGCTGCTTTCACTATTTTGTTTGTATGTGAAAAACAAAGAGCAGGCTGAGGACAGTAAACAACATGGACAAATAGATTCTACACTCCCATCCCCATGGTGTCTGGATTCTGGTCAACACCTCCAAGCAACTGTGGGAGGTTGGAGGTCATGCTAGACTGCCACTTTCTCAAAGCTCAAGAGTTGACCCAGTGCTCCGAGGGGCAGCCATCCAGCCTGGCACACCAGTCTCACAGGAACAGCAATTCTAATAAACAGGCTACAACTTGATTTTCAAAAGCCAACCCCCAATGACTAAGGAAGCCAGAGACAAATGAAAATGGAGGGGTTCTGCTTGGGGGAGCAGGTTACTAGGAAGGTATCCTCTTTGATTCACTCCTGTTTTTCCTGAGCTGAAAAAGTAGGAAGCCTTTTTAAAGTGAGCTCATCAAGATAACTACAAACCTTCAGTTTGCTAATTATGAATGAAGACTAGGCAACACTGAATGTGAATAAAAGGCTAAATTACCTTGTGTTCAATAAAACAAAAGAATGTCCAAATGGGAGTTTTGCACATAGTACTATCAATGGTTAAGCAAGAACATAGCCACAAACTGGATGTCAGTTAGATATAGATGTGAACAACTCGTAATCCTTTCAAGGCAAAACTTCAGAAGGTTTTCCAGATACCTCTACTCAGATTAAACTGTGAGGACAGGAATTTTTATTCTTTTTTATCCCCTGTCCCCTTCAGTGCTTTGAGAAACCACTGTGATTTGTGACTTTTCTTCCCTGTTTTCACCTGTAAAGTAATCTCTGTGTGCATGTGCCCACATGTCCTGAGGTCCAATGAGACACACCTTGATCATGTTCACTTGCAGAAGAGTAAAACAATGTCAAAGAACTGGTGTGCAATTTTCTGGACTCACATTTGAGGCCATAACAGTGTGCACAGACACCTGCCACTGCATGAAATGGAGAGCAGTAACAAAGAGAAGGAAAGTTCTGGGGCCTTCTTGAAAGAGAGGAGGAGCCACTTAACAGGAAGGGGTGGGAGAATAATCTGGTGGAGATTTTCAAACCAGAAAAACCACATCTAGAAAATATATGGCTCCAATTAATCTCAAGTGACTTGTTTTCCCCACTGTCCTCTGCAATGCATTAAAAGACCTGTGACCACAGCACGTACGTGACATTCAAAATGATAAGTCATAAAGAACATCACAGTATTCCAAAGGCTGGCTACTGGTCCCCTTAGCTTTGTGACAGACGGCTGGGAGGAGGTTCAGAATTCCATCTGTATGGCCTTGGGCAGGTACTAACTGTCCATGTTAAATGCAAATGAAAAGCAAGGAACCCAGATGATTACTACACCTTCTGCTAGAGTGATAGTTCTGCTGTCATTTAGGTATGTTCGTTCAGATTCCAAGAAACAGCTTCATGTTAAGATTCCCTAAAATCCTTCCTGCTGTAATCCCCCAATGTTAGTATCATTGAGAATCTCTGGGTCCTTTCAATAATGTAGACTTCCAGGCCTCTAGATCTGCTTCTTTTTCTAAAACACCTCCCCTCATACACACTACCAAACAGCCCAATGATTTTGATGCAAGTGTCCCTTGAACCAGTTCAGAGGAATAAGGGCCTAAAAAGAACACAAATAACTAAATAAATGATAGAAAAGATAAGCACATTCAAGATTCTTGAGGCACACTTCATTTGTAGTTACTTTGAGATCAATTAGCTGAGCCTTAATTTCAGCACAATGTTTAAAAGTGAAGAGGGAAAAAAAGACATTAGCAGAGCACCATAAATTTTATCGTATTAATGGGTATTTAATTGAATATACTTCAACTAACAAAGATGACTATAATTTGGCTAAAAATAGTATTCTAGCTTTTGTCCTAATAAAGAAACTATTATTATACTCCCATGGCAACAAGATGATCATAGGATTTTATATAATATAGAATAATTAGCACTCTATTAAGAAGCAATCTTGGCAATTACTGCATTTATTTATATAATTACTGGCCCCTGGTGAGCATTAAATATGAAACATTATGTATCTAAGAATAGGGAAGGAGGTAAAATAGTTAATAAAATCTTAATAAACATTTTTGTTGACAATCAAGATCACTGAATCAGAATTCTCTTGGGGATTCTAAGGGTCATCCAGAACAATTTCCACATTTAAGACTTGAACTGCTGAGCAAAATCTCTAGTAAGTAGCCAGAATACCTAAGGTAATGCAGAGTTCACATTCTCAAAATGCAGCAAATTCAATTGTTGAACAATCCTAAATGACAGTTTACTTTTTTAATAAGCAGAGATCTGAATTCTTATCCTAAGATAAGACTAAATGAAACCTCAATTCCATAAAACAATCCTTCAGATACTTGAACAGTTCATCAGTACTCCTAAGACAGAACCATTTGGGACTTCTTTGCTTTCTCTTTTTATGATACCATATCCTCTTGGATCTTTCTAACAGTCAAATACCCACTTTGAAAACTGAGTTCTAAAAACATTACATTCTGTCAGTATGTATAGGTCCAACATCTGAGGAATCTTTATAGCCCAGCCAACTCACAGTCAAATTCAGGTAGAAACAAGTGCACCAGCCTCTTTCCCTCATTATGGCCAAGTGACCAATGAGAATGAATTAATGCGTCTTCTGTATTTCTGGAGACTCATGGGCCTTTGTAAATGAAAATTCAATCTACAGTAGAGTTAGACCTGAAAACAGGGTCCTCTATGTTCACATCTGAAGAAGGTTCTGCTTTCACTGTTTCTTCACCCTGATCAAGGATCTCAAGTCTGCACTGTACTCACTAATTATCAGTTTTCACATTTATGTCATGAATAATTTAATGTACAGTATTTGAAATTATGAAATTACAGGACTATGTCTTCAGGTGTGTGTATGTATATTGTCACATGATATCATAACACACAGTTCACTTCTGTAATTCTAACCCCAAGGTTCTCATAACGTGGAATAATAAGGCATGGACAAGATACTCTCTAATTTTCAATCCTAACTTGCAATGTGTCAGCAGAAAAATCTCAAATCTCTAAGAATGTGTATAAAAATAATGATTTAATAATTGTACATATGGGTAACTTCTCAGCTGACATTTCTCCCACTTGAAAAGGAAAAAAAGCATGTTTTCTTCTCTAAGACTTTAGTTCAATATTCTCGAGCTTACACCCATTTGGGTAGTCATATGTAAGTCTTCTCAATATTTTGCCCTTTGCTAAAAACTTAACTACAAGGAAGTATACAAAAGAGAATTATACAGAAAAATTGAATTATTCATTCTACTGAAACATGTCAACTTTACAAGTCTTTGTCCATATTACCAACACCAAGACAAAGAATTAATATAATACTTTATAATTTGGCAAGAAGGTCTGTAATAGACATTTATGTCAGAAGAAATTTCTATGGTTCTTTTTCTCCTTAAGTTAAATCTCATTAATTTTTTTTAAAGTGCTGATAAAACTTGTGAAATAGTGTGGAAAGGTTTTACCTAGAAATGCTTGCTTCTATTTGATTTTGTTATCTTGAAAAATGAAATTTCCTCTTTGGGAGAATTTGCTTCTTCATTTCACCCCACTCTGCATAATCTTCATAGGGACCTTTCATGGTATAATCATACTGGTCCTAGCTTCTCAACTGTAAGGTTCCCAGAGTGATTACCCATTCAAAATAAAACAAAATAAAGCTATTAATGGGATCCAAATTCTAGAATCCCTCCTGTAGCTCAAGAAAAGTAAGATTTAAAAGAAAAGAAAAAAAAAAAGCATAAGTCCTGTGCAGATTGGTGGGTATCTAAAAACTCTTGGACATAGTCACAAAATTCCCATTAACCCAATGAGCCACTATCATAAGATCCAGGTTTAAGTCTAAACTATTAGAAACTAACAATGTTCACTTCCATCCCCAAACTTCCAAGATACAATTCAAGTAGCTTATCTAAACAAATGTACAACTCCTTTTCCTCCTTTAACTCAAATTCAGATCCATTGTATTTAAACTGAAGTTGGCATTCCTATAACCATGTCATTTGTTTTACTTCAGTGAAGCTCAATACAAGGCAATTTTTAGATAATTTTTAGACCCTTCTTGGAAATACTTAAAATTTTCAAAAAAGAGAGGTCATTGTCTCCTTGAGAAACTGACAGTGTCATCACCCCTGAATCTAAAAGTGAGAGCTTAAATCTACTTTTCTCATATCCTTTAAATGTACAACCACTGGTTCAGAGTTCTTACTATGATTGTTTAGCAGAGTGGAAAAAAAAATTACCTTTAAAATTTTTTGAAATCTCTAGATAGACTAGGTACAAACAGTCTTAAGAAAGCGTGGTTTACAAACATTGCTTCCTAAAACTCAAGACTCTCCACGATGAAAACAACATTGCTTTATTCCACATTTTTAAAAGTTCTACATGCCCTTTATTAATTCTTAGAATATAATAACCAATAAACAATACTTTTCACTGAAACCTATACTGTCTTCTCCATTGGTTTCCCACTTACACTCTCAGGAAGAAGGCTCTATGAGAAAAGCTTAAAATAAATATGCATATTATGCTTCATGTCTTGAAAAATCCATTTCAGAGAGTAGACAGTACTGATCCATCTACTCTATGATTGCTATAACTACACAGTATACTACAGTTCAAACTACTATTGTTCTCAAGCAGTTGGGGGAAATGCCAGATTTCTTTCATTTGTGCTTCATTGTCCCCTCTGTTTTTACCAGATATTCTTATTAATGTCAGCCACGAGAAAGCAAAAATAAAGTTGTTTTACATATTAATCACCCAATGGGCAGATCCCACCTGGGCTTTACAGGATGACACATATAAAGAAGTTAAAACACAAGTCTTCCCTCTAAAGGCAATGGGATAAAACATGTTAACACTAAAGTTATATTAAGCCATCTCTTAACACTTCAATTTTACTGAACGTATTTCTGACAAAATAATTTAATATCTCTAGAGAAGGCCAGCTATCAAAACCACCAAACAGAAACAACAGATTATGCACGTGCACACAAAAGTCAAGTGTGGCCAGTCCGGATCCATGAGATGCTGTGGTCACTTTCCCCACTGGATAATCTATTATTTATTTGAAATTCATTGTCCATATACTCTAATAAATTGGGGAGCAAGTACTAATGTTATAAGATACTTCTGTTTTTACTTTTGAGTAGATATCAGACAAATGTAATACTCAATAAAAATTTCTGATTTCTTTAGGTTTTCATTCAAATTAAAATCCCAGCCGCCTTTTACAGACTAAACATGAACTGAGCAGAAAAGACCAGTGCACAGCTAAGAACATTAATGTGGTGATCTTGGTGTTATTCTGTTAGGCCTGGGAAATCTCTAGGTATGAAGTTCCTCTCCTCTGATAAGCTTTCTGATGGGCAGTTTGGGAGCCCTTCAAAAGCAGGTTTCAAGCAGGCAAAATTAGGACCAAGACAAAATAAGCAAAACAAAGGTGAAGAAGATAAAACAAAGATTCCCAACAGAGTCTTTGGAGCAGAAAGCCAGACTATTCTTTCCTGTTTTAATTTCTCTCTCAAAAGAAGAACAAACTATAGAATAAAACTAATACTAACACTTCTGGTCTGGTTTCATCTACTCAATATATTTGCAAAAATCTTAAATTCAGATGCAGTGTTTATATACTATATAAAACATCATAATACAGTGCAATCCACTTTTACTTTTTAAAGAAGTGATTTTCTGGAATACAAAAAAAAAAAAACATATTCTCGAACTTTCTTTTTGATAGGCTCCTAGAAATAAATTATGAGCCTGGCTTACTTTATCCATGCAGAAGTATTTCAGATCCTAATAACCCAACAATAGGATCATATGACCTCTGCATACAGGACCACATTTCAGATGGCTACTAGCTACTCAACATAGCAATAACTATAATGCCTATAAAAACCAATGTAAAGTAGCCAGTTCCAATCAGCCCTATGGTCTCTTGAGAAAAGCTAATCATGCTAGCCAACAGTCATATAACCTTACAGTAATAACAACAGTCTGAAGATGTTCCTTCCAAGCCATATACTCACAGGTGTACATCCTCATCCCATCATCATAAAGAAATACATGCTTGGGTAATTTCTATATTATATGTATGAATATATGTCATTTAAGTACATAAAGTATCCTAATTTTACACTGACACATTATAATGATTGACCTCAAGTTTAATATCAAGCTGCCAATTAAGCTCTGAACAGAATATAATATACCCAGTTCTACCTAGTAGACTATAATACAATTCAATTAATTTATAACAATAATAACAACAACCTAGAGATAAGTTAAATATGAAACTTATTTCATAATAAAAACAGAAAGAAAGGCAAACATTATCTTTCTGAAGTGATCTTGGCTTCCTAGCAACTGGATTTGAACACTGTTACTTCTTTAAAACCATGATAAAATACACACAGTCCAAGAAATTAAGGGACGATAAACAAAGAACTCGGCAAGAAAAAGGCAGGCTTCTTTACTGGCCAATCACAAGTAAATAGCTGTGGCACAGACACTGAAGCCATACTGCTCTAGATCTGATTCCCAACTCCACCAATTAATATTTGTATAATCTTAGCCATGTCTCTCTTTGAGTCAGAAATTAATATTTGTATAATCTTAGCCATGTCACTGATCCTCTCTCGGTGCCTCAGTCTTCTCATCTATAAAATGAAGAAAGTAATACAGGTTGAACATACCTAATTCAAAAATCTTAAATGCTCCAAATCGAAAATGCTCCGAAATTCAAAGCACTATGAAAATGTTTATAAAGTTCTGGATTTTGGATTTTCAGATGAGAAATGCTAAACCAATAAAATATTCCAAAACCAATAAAATATTCCAAAACCTATAAGACTCTGAAATCTGAAACACTTCTGGTCCCAAGTATTTCAGACAAAGAATATTCAACCTGTAATAACAACCTCAAGAGACTGTCTGAAGAAAGGAGTTAAAATACATCAAGTGCTTAGAAGGATGCCTAGCACATGCTTAGCTTGCCAGGCAGGTTAGCGGAAACTACCGTCACTGCACCAGAGACAGAGCTGCCATTTGTCTGCTCCCCTAAGGGACCCTACTATTCCTATTATGATTCAGTGGTAAACAATAAGGTTAAAGAGCTAGATGTTTCTTAGTATAGGTAATTCTAGATTCATACAACAAAAAAACAGTAAATACTGTGGTTTGGAGGAGGAAGGATGATTCCAGTTTTCAGCTTTTGGGGGTTAGGAAAGTGAATCGACAATGACTTTTCATTGATCAAGGCCAAGCAATGCAGTTTATTGCTGAATGGAAATCTACCTTTCCACTTCCCATCGACCACAAGAAACATTCTTTGTTTCCTCAATAATGCCAAAAAAGTTTGCCAAACTTGGCAAACAACTCAGGCCAAAATGGGTAAGCATCCTGCTCAGCCAGGTGCTCCATGGGCCCCCCTGTCAACAATGTTATTTGTTCCTGACTTGACCACAGTGCCTATACTCTAAGGTATAGAACAGAGTAATCGCAAAGAATGCCCAAGCTTATTCATGAGCTGTGTCCCCAATTCATGCTGCAAACAGGAGACTTTACTGTCACTGTTGACTTTAGTATAGACAGTGACTAAAATGACAACAGAAAATATTATTTTATCTTCACCCTTTTGTATATAGTAAGATAGTAACACCAAAATTCTAAGAGTTTTAAGGTAATCAAAACTCCTTCATATCAATTAGCCTTCTTTCCTTAAGGAATTATCAAGATAAATGAAATTCTATCACCCATTTAATAACACATTATAAGGGTACTATATGCTTTGAGGAGGTATTTGTGTATATAAGTGAACAGAAATGAATCATTAGCTAGAAATTCAGTGGTGTAAGTTCTATTTTGCTCAAGAGAAATCAGGAATATTCTCACAGTTCTATTTACCAAGGAAGCCTGGTTGAGCTACGAAAACCTGGCTACAAGTGGCCAGAATAAAGGCATTTCAATGGGGCTGACTCTTACTTTATTCCTTTTTCTCTGCCCCTTTCTCACTCTCCTTAAGAAGTGTCTCTGGTGCATGCTTGGTTTCTAAAGGCCAGATGAGACCATGGATGCTACAGTGAATGCTAAAGTCTGAAAGAAATATTTCTCTCTCCCTCTCTTTGAGTCAGAAATTCTGAACACAAGAGGATCCATTCAAGGCATGATGGAGTGCCTCACAGAGGCAGCAATATGTTCACAGTTGGCAAACAGAAATCTGTTTGGACAGTGAGTACAGCCATCCACTCAGCAAACATCAGCTTTCCTATTAGTTCACAGCAGAAAGACCGAGACACTGGCGGCCCTTCTTTCAGACTCCAACTCCACTTTGGGACAAGGCTTCTAAACAAAATGCCTTTGTCTGACACTCACAATTCAATGGGTCCCAACGGCTTTCCTAGAAGCTATGTCTGTCTATTCACAATTGCATTTGGGCCCAAAAATCATTTGTAAAGATCTGAAGGGGGAAAAAAGTGATGGGAAATACCCAATTTCCATTTATAATAGACAGGGAGTGACTGGCCTTATACCAATCAGCAAGAAGAGAGGCTGGAAAGGCATACAGGGTAGGATGGGTTTTATGGGCAATCTCTTCCCTTTAGGTGATTTTGGGAACATGGGTGTTGTTACTGCTACAATCTGGAAGAACACCAAGTTAATCTTTCAAAGGAAATCAGAGAAAAGATGGAGCAAATCAAACAGCAAACTTCCTGTTGAGTTACATTCCAATATGAAGGCAGGATCTTTCCCCACAGGATTTCAAAATAAACGAATAAGAATTGTCAGTTTTGAAAGATAGCAGAACACGTTAGGATATCCTCTTCTACCAAGTTTTCACCAAATTCTTCAAGTTTAAGTAAACAAACACAAAACGACAAACCAATGCCCTATTTTATTTTCTTTCCTCTTTGGGCATGAACTTGCTATATGAGCACTTGCTCTTAACTGATAATAGAAACCTGTTAGGATGACATTTTATTTAGTATAAACACAGTATCAAAATTTTAAATGAGAAATGACATAATTCTCCTTTTAACAATACAAGTAACTATAAGGTAAAGCAGAGGCAGGGAGAGAGACAGTGTCCTCCAAGATATTATAATACCCATAGCAATTCTCCAACACCAACACTTGTACATGTCTGTAGTAAAGGGTAAATCTCAGAACCACCAAAGAACTCTCCACATAACACAATTCTAGGAGCAAACACTCCTACTTGAGAAAACTACTGCCAGCCCATGAGCTGTTTATGTACAGCTCAAAGTTTAAAATAATTCTCACATTTTTAAAGATTTATAAAAGAAATTAAAAATATGTATCAGAGATTGTGTGACTATCTGCAAAGCTTGATATTCACTATCTTGACTTTTACAGAAAAAAGTTGGCCAGCACATGCCCTAAACTATTAAAAAGCCTCAAATAGTAACTCCTAATTCTATTTAAGCCAAATTATCAATGTGTTTTCAAATAAGCTCTTCCAGAGGTCAGTGACCAAATACTCCAGAGAAGATGAAATGATAGAGTAAGGACAGAAGGATCTGAACAAGGATCTACTCAATCAACATCAGATGGTTATCAAGACAATTTTGAAGCTTTTTCATAAGACAAACCTTTATTCTTTGGAAAGATCCCCAATAAATCATTCAGCTTAGAAAATCTCTAACTTATAAAACTAGGAATAATAACCACTTGCCTTTACAAGACAGTGTCAGGGAAATTGAGTGAGTCAAAGGCTATGAAAGACAGTACCTAAGAGAAGGCAGGAGAGGGGTATGGTATCAGTGAGGTTCTCTGGTTTTCCTATAGACTGTGCCAAAGGAAATGCCTACCAAAAAGACAGACAAAGCAAAGCAGTAGGCTTTGTAAAACTTCCTTTTTCTTGCTTCAGGCAAAACATAGCCTCATACAGACTAGTTTGTAGAATTTAAGACTATAGATTTCTATCTTTTTCAATGAATAAAGATGCTCTTTACCAAAGGAATAAATACTGAGACCAAATTACTAACCTGTAATCAGAATTCATTAAAGAGAGGGGAGAGGGGGGTGAGGAGAAATTCTGAATGATGATGTAACTTTGTAACTTAAGTTTTTTAACTCAAGAATGGCTGGCTTGACTGAGCATGGAAATCTGTGTGTGTCATCTGCCAACTCAACCACAATTCAGTTTCCTTTTAAAGCCTCAACTTTTGTCTGCTCAAGGTTTTGTGAAGCCGATTTTTTAGAAACTGATCATATATTCATACCATTCTAAGTATAGCATGCATCTATGGATTGATTGCATCATGCTAAAATTCAAGAAGCAGGACTGCCAAATAAAAGGTCACACCCAGTTAAAGCTGAGTTTCGGATCCACAAGTTAATTTCATACAAGTGTGCCCCAAATACTTCATAAGACATAGACTAAAAAACTAATATGGTACATTTCAAATTCAACTGTAAGTGGACATCCAACATGCTAAATCCAGCACCCCTACTACAAAGACATGAAGGGGACATGGATATCACTTCATAGGGTAGAGGGCAACAAACTGCTGAGATGGACTCATTTCATCAGAATTTTG